CCAACGCCTCGCGACCCCTCGACGACGCGCCACTAGACGACACGGCCGTCCACTGTGGCGTCTGGATGATTGAGATTCGGGTGTTGCCTCGTCTCGGCCGACGGATAGATCCCTCTGACTGTAACGTGAAATGGGAAATTTTTCGTTAGACGGGTCGTCCACGATCTTCTCGATTATTTCGAAAAAATTTCGGAAGAACGAGAGAGAGAGAGAGACTTTACGTTCGTACATAAAGTGTGTAATGTTATTAGACGTTATATTGGGCTGCGTTCCAAAGAATTGAAAAGGGACAGCCTTTAACGAGTCTCCATCGAGGGGGAAAAAGTATAAAAATTGGTATAAAAATTCGCGAGCGACGCACAAAGAAAGAAGCACGGCCCTCTTCCATCGGCTGTGTCGAGTGGTTTTTCAACGAGTGGCGAAATCACATTAAAAGAGTGGAGTATCTTCGAAAGGCTTTCACCCCGGCTGGGCCCCGCGTTATCGGCTCCTTTTCACGATCGCGCATTGATACGGAACACCGCTTCCGGTTACTCGACCCACTCCTTCTCGCCCTCTGAACAGAGTCGAACGAGAGCCAATCGTTTCCCGCCTCGTATTCGCATAATACCCTCTCCCCACCACCCTTTCTCCGACAAAGCCCTCTCTTGCCTCAATCCTCGCCCCTCCCCCCTTCCCCTTTCCTCGCTTTATTCCTCTGCTCAGGATAATTTGGAACTCGAACGGCGGCGTGAGAATTTTAACGATTGCTACGGATAAGATGGGAAACGTCTTCTTTAAAGCTGACTATGAAAACTATATTGAATACAGTCGCGAGGAATAGAATGGGAATTTACGAATTGGACTTTTATTTCCCGAGAACAATTCAAAAATTTCGGCTATTCTATCTGAAACGATTATCTTCCAAACTTTCGTCCATTCGCGTGTCCACTTCGGGCAAAAATGCTTAATGGATGGAGAAGCACTCAGAACGGCGTAACCGTTCCTCAAGATCCTCATTTCCGGCCGAGCAGTCGGCTAAAAAGAAAGCTCGAGAAACTCGCCAAGACGAGAGGGAAGTGCACCCGAACTATCGCTCCCCTCTTCGGCCAAGTTCGAGTGTTCGTCCACTCTGGAAACGGTCGAGCTTGTGTCAAGAAGAATATTCAGCTGGTCGCGCGATTATCGACGAGACAAACGCCAATAAAAGGGATTGCAGTCATTGCGTTGGGCCGAGTGGCCGTCTTCCGCAACCGGCGTCTCGTGCAATTGCGGAAGCAGTCCTCTTCGAACGAAATCGAGAGGGAAAGAAGAGCTTTCCTTTAATCCTGTGCCCTTTCTTTTCCTCGCTTTCTTTCCCCTATCCTTTTCTGTCCATCTTCCTTCCTTTGCTTCTCAATGTGTCACTCTGTTCTTCCTATCTTCGTGCACGTGTCTTTTGTCTCAAACACACGATCGCTCCCCTCTGTTCTTCGAGGTAAATTGGTGAACATCGAGGCTCTTAGGCTCGTGTCCTTCGAGAACTTGGTGATGTCTCTTTCTCTTTCTCTCGGAAGACAGCGAGAAAGAAGGAGAGAGTTGTGAAGAGTTCAGTGAACTGGCAGCCATTTTAAGTGAACGTGAGAGAACGTCGGTACGCATTCCTCTTTTTCTTCTGTTCTTTTTTTAAAGTTTGTATTATAAAGATGATATTTATTCGTGGATCTTTAAGTTCTAGACATCGAAACGATTTTTTCTTTTTTTTTTTTTTTTGTCAACTTTCGTATTCTAGAATTCGTTTTTCTAGAATCAATCATTCAAAGATGTTATTAAAAATTATACGTATTTAAAATTACGAAGCATGTATCAATAGCCAGGTAAAAACGAATCGAACACAAGTTAAAAAGGAATAGAGGAAAGAGAGGAGGGAAAGAAAAATTGTAGGTTAAATAATATTTGAATGGAAACGGTTAACTCGTTTCTCAGCTCTCTTTCCGGTCTCGTCCTCCGCATCCTCTGCGTATAGGGGCGAGTTCCGCCCCTTCCCAGTCGAAACATAGAGCGGTAGACAACGCGTGGTATTTTTCAATTACGCGACTACACGCCGTCTTTTGCGGTCTCTGTGCGGCTCGTTCGCACTCCCTGGCTGCGGTCTAAACGTGAAAAAAACGCCACCACCATGGTCGTTTTAACGGTGAATAAATAACCGGCGATGTTTGAATTTTCTGCCGGAAGTCGTGCCGCATCTCGCGTCGCGCGGCAAATGGAATCGAAACGTTCGAAGGGAAGATAAACTATTTAATTTACGTATTACACTTGAATTTTCATCCATTTTTTTTTTCATTCGTCTTTTAAGCTTTTAATCTATTTATTAGCTTCATATATTTGTCTAATCATATAATAATAATATTTGTTTGATTAGAAAATTTTTATAATTCGTTGGAAGAAATTTGAATAGGAGGAATAAGTTGATGATGAATTTATTTGTTTTATTTAGAAAAAGAAGAAAAGGCATGCGTGTATTATAGTTTTAAAGCGTATGCTCTGCTCTATAGAGGATTAATAGTGCGTGGATCAGTATGCGGATGAATCAAAGTTGAATAGGAAGTGAATGAATTGAACACATACACTTCATTCTCGGTTGGCATTGACGTTACAATTTAGGGTTTGTGCAACCTTTACACACCGCTACTTGTACAAATTATCCGACTTGATTTATATAACTCGTTTACAATGCATCGAGCCATTTTTTGTTTCCGTTCTCATACTTGTTTCTTTTTAATTCTCATCGATCTCTTTTCTCCCCTCCTTTCCTCCACTCGAACAGACGTCCAACTCTATCTATTCTTTTGTAAATCAAAAGAGTAAAATATTTTTCCCCTTCCTTTACAATTTGATCGAAAATTTGATTTCAAATTGTTTACAACTCGATATTCAAATATATATATATATATCTATCGTTTTGAAAGAGAAACTCATTTTTGTTTTAGAACGCGTACATAAATCTCTGGACAAATATGTTAAAACCGTTTTATCAATCTTTTCACCAACGATAATTCCATCGAGAACCAATTTCCACTTCGAAATTGAAACACACAGGGTATTGAAATAACATTGTACAACGCGATAATTTCATTTCATCGCACAAGCAACGTAATAACGCTTCAAAAAAAAAAAAATCGTTGCATCGATTTTTCCCCGAATAATCCCGCCCTAAACAAATCGCGTCAAAATATCAAAACGCATTCCAAACACGTTTTTATACGCATAAAATCGTTTACTTCGATCGATCCACTCGAAAATTATCAAAATCATCCGAGCACGAGAGCGTGGCCTTATTTCTCCCCTGCCATCTCTAAACCATCTCGTTCGAAACGCAGCAAAAGTTGATTCCTCAAGAGCCGTCGATACTTGCCAAGAAGCTGAAACCACCCCACCACCACTCTCGTCACCATCCAAAAGGAAAATGTTTTCGTTCCAGCCAACTCCTCCTCTCCTCGGGCAGTCGTTGCTGGATATGTAGGTTAACCCCGCTGCACCCTTTCTGCCTCTCCAGTGTAGTACTACACGACGACACCGGGGTTGCCGGTGGTATTGATCCCACGACCAGGGTTGCCGGAAGGTTCTCAAGTTAAAAATACACGGCCTTACGGAGTCGCGCGGCTTTGCCAACCGTTTTCGTGCCTCCTTTCTGGATATTTTCTCTTGCGGAGAGCTCCTCCAATAAAGGAAGAGAGAGAGAGTGAAAGAGAAAGAGGAGGAGGAGTCGAGGGACGATTAAAGGTGACTGATAATTATCGTGGAAGCGAGCGTTGTTGTTCAAGTTTCTCGCGACCTCGAGCGTTTTACGACGCGGTCTCAACAACTTATTAAACAACCGCAACCCCTGCTAATTAAGAGACAAGACACTCGTTCCGTGCCTGTGGCGGCAATTAAAAAAACGAATCGCGAGGACGAGTCCAGGGTGAACGTGTGAAATTTAGAAATGGAGAATTTTAGGGACAGATGTGAATTTTTAGAAGCGTTCCTTTCTTTCTTTCTTTCTTTCTTTTTTTTAGTCAAAAGGAAGAATGGAAAAGGGGGTTACGATGTTTATTATAAAGTAAAGTATTGGAAGGGGTTGATAACCTCTGCTATCAACGGAGCGGTGGTGGTGTAAACCGGGGGTATTCCAAGAAGAGTCGATGAACGAAGAAAGGAAGGTAGTAGGATGGAAGTTGAATCCAAAGCGGAACAAGGATTGAGACACGATGCGAGTTGGAAATAAGATGGAAGGATGGGGTTGAAATTGGGTGGGATACAGGCCCAAACAGGGAGTCGAAGTGGGTCGTGTCGATGCGAGGGAGAAGTGGAGCAAAAGTAGTAGACCCGAACTAGGGCTGGCGCTAATGATAGTCGTCTGAGAATTTGGGGCGTAATTTCAAGTGTATTTTTTCGTCGGGGACGTTTCACGAAAGAGCGAGTGGGTAATTTTTAATTAGACAAGATTTTATGGAAAAGATGAAGACTATTAATTTTTAATATCGTCGATTCAATCTCTATGATTTCAATATTTATCTGAATTTATTACTGGACGTTTCGATAGATCAAAAAATGTAATCGAAAATCGACATCCATCTACTAAAACACATTTCTCCAGAATTTCGAAAGCCGTTGACGCTTGACTCGAAACAATTGTACAACGAAAGGGATGTTGACTATTAACCTTATGAACACACGTCACAAGGCTGTCGAGCACAGATGGCGGAAGCTTTGGCGAAGGGTGGATTCAAAGGACAGCCTTTTTCCCCCGTGCCTCCGTGAAACCTTGAGGGTGAGAGGTTGGTTGTAGGTGCGCGTAAAGACCCACGAGTACGCCCTTTCCACGCGGCTGCTGAATGGAGGCCACGTGGCACTCAAGGGCCACCGAATATGGGCCAGAGAAGTGTTCTTCACCAAGAACCAAGTCAATGGAGCACGAATCCATCCGGTTCCATCTTTCTCCCACTCTTTTCGATCCTCTTCTCCATCTATTCGTTATTTATTCGTTATTCTTTCGATATTCTTTCCTCTTTATTTTATTCGCTGCGAGAGGAATCGAAGAAGAAGAAGAACAAGTCCGACAATCGTGACGTATTAAGTGGCTCTCTCCCTTCTCCTATCGAGAGAGGCTGACGGCGT